CAGGCCAAAGCTAACACTTTCTGTCTGTGCAGCAGGCAAAGTCAGTCTTGAGGAACTCCAATGAACCTCCACTAGGGTGTGAAAGACATAAGCTGTGAATGGTTTTGAAGCAGATGGTCAGACACAGGTACATAATTTCAGGCACCAATCTGAGGAAAGCAGTTTCTCAAAGCTCCCTACATAGCCTGTAAAGAATGATACCTCTGGTTCAGCAGAGCAGCTCCAAATGCTCAGCCATGGGCCTACATCATGGTCAAGAAGAGCTGAGCTCTCTGTACTGATTAGGGAGAGAGCCAGGGAAAATCAACCTTCCTTTGTAAAAACCATCTGACATGACCCTCTCACTTAGGAGCCAAAAAGTGTATTTCTGTCCTTCTTGTTCACATGTACCTCTTTTGCTCTCAGAAGGAGCTTGCTCTCTATGCTGGGGAAGAAATATCCAGTCTACATGGGTAAGTGAAGTGCCTGTTTGTAAGATCAAAGCTAAGATCCTCCATTCAAAGTACTCCAAACAAGAACAGAGAATGATGGTTCTTCAAGAGGTTTTTTTATTGTGTTCCCTTTGTGCAGCTTAGGGAAAACAGACAACAGGAGTTGTTTGAAATAAAGTTTTAATTTACCATCCTAACACGCAGAGAAGCAATTAGATTCAAGTTAAGTACTGTAAATAGTTACTATAATTACTTGTAAAACATTCAGCTACCTGTACATCTGTTAAAGTCAGTAGAGAACAGAACATTTTTTGTTTTTTTTTTTAAGAGAAGGCTAAATGTTATTACTTAAGGGCCAAACTATTTTTGTGAACTCTTCAAAAAGAAGTATTTATACTATAGACACTACTGATGGAGAGCACCTGTTGGGGCACGTATTCCCTTGACAAGACTGAGTGGGTGTATCAGCAAACTGTCTGAAGAATTGTCTAGTCTTGTTTATATTTAGAGAACCTTAGACCTTCCTCAAAAGAAAAAAAAATAAGAAAAAAAAATTGCAGAAGAGTACTGATTTTCTTATATTTGTTCTATTTATCAGGTTTCTATCCCTACTAGAAACATGAAGAAAATATTGTCTTGCTAACATCTTTTTATAAAGAACTTTTTTCTTTGACACTGGACAGAGTCTGGCCTGGCCTGATGCACAGTTTTACACCACATTTTGACAGGCACACAAAGCAGCTGGAGTTCCACCACTTCCGCACCATCACACACACTGCTCTTGGTTCTTCCTCTTCACACAGACCTCCCAAAGCTTTTCCTGAACTTGGCCCTGTTGTGTCTAGTTTGGACAATTTTTGCATCAGCTGATGGTTGCTGAGCCATCCTGGTCTGCTGTTTGAGTTTTGGTTCACCTGAAACAGGTTTCTTGATGTCTGGGGGCAATTCCAACAAGCACACACAGATTACGTTAGTTTGTCTAAGCACAAAGTGATGTGTTGGAAATTTTTTTTCAACAACATGTGACTTCCACATATGCACCAGTGTTTCCTACACCAAATACACACCTTCAGGTACCAAAAATCCCAAAACACAAATACATGCACTGTTGAGTTGTCCTACCATTTCTGAGCTTCATATCAGCTCTAATATCACTACTACAGAGAAAACAATTTGTAATGCAGGACAGGGAAGGGTAGGGAACCTTTCAACAGAAAGGTTGAGAGCTAGTCTGAATATTGGAATGTGAAAGAGGAATTAGAAGCCCATTTTTTACCCTCCTAAGTTTGATACTTTTTTAGCTCACTCCTGCTCTGGGAGGGCATTTCCTTGCATGCCTTTGCCTTTTAACTTGCAGTAACTTAAAGCAGCTTTGCACAGGGCTCATGCAGTTGATTGAAACGCTGCTGATAGCCTCTGCAGCTGATAGGAAAAAGGCCACAAGCCAAGTTGATGGCCACAAGCTGCTCTCTGATGGGATTTCACAGCTCTCAGACTGTCCCGTAGGCCTGCTGCATTTTACTGATGATATCACTAAACAAATGTTTATGAACAGATAGACCTCAAAGTGGATATTTGGCTACTGTACCAACAGAGCTATACCTCCAAAAGGTAAGGGAAGGAAGAAGTGGAAAGCAAAGGGAAAAAACCCAAAAACCTAAAATATGTGCATTTCTTTAAAAAAGTTTTGTAGTGGCTTCATATAAGAAAACTCCTTTCTTACAGTTTTCCCTTTGAAATACTGGTGTCTTGCAATCCCAATATATAAAAACATTTCCTTTTTTAAAAACTGACATATGGCAAAAATTGGTAGCAGTAAATAAATGCACATAAAGCTAAATCGTGCCATCCTAAATGTTAGTAAAAATGACAAAATAAAATACTATCTATATAAACTATGCACAGGTGTGTAGCATATTACAAGCAAAAAACATATCTTGCAATTATAAGCCCACAGTATTTTTTTCAGTTGTCTGTAATTACATTTTTTATATGTTTGTTTAGTAATATCAATCCAAGACATCATTTTGAGGATATAATTAACTTCATGTTAGAACAGGATGTGTTAGACTGTTTTTGTGTGTTGAAAGAGACAAAAATCTTCGTTAGCTGTATTTAAGTGCCATCTAGTGTCCCAATGCACCAATTTCACTCAGAAAACCCTCAAAATTTTCAGAGCAAAATCAAGTTGCAGGGTTTAAAAAGAGCGAGGGTCATAATTCTCCCATTTCTGTGCTAACATTAAGTCTTTAATCCATATGGGCAGTAAATACAGATCTCAGGGCAGATGCTTAGTTTTTCAAATTTTTATAGCAGCGCTACAACAGTAAACTCGCATAAAGATAGAGGTATCTAATGAAGACAGAATCTGGGTGGGGAGAAAAAAGCTTTTTATAAAAATTATTAAAGGTGGGTTCTGAAAGATCCATAACATAACTGGAAACTAAGGCAGGGGCACTTAGGACATGACACACATGTAACAGTGGGACACACTACAGTGAGGTGCCAGTGCATTCAGATATGCAGGAGAAAGCCTTTCCTCACGTACAGGACTTGCTCTTCCAGCCCTGTATGCTGACCATGACTCCATAGGGTCTGGAATGTCACCTGGATCGGTCTCGAATGTCACCTGGATCGGTCTGGAATGTCACCTGGATCGGTTGGGATCAGCTGTCCTGGCTATGCCCCTCCCATCACCTTGTGCACTCCCACAAGATGGGGTAGAAGCAGAAAAGGCTTTAACTCTGTGTAAGCCCTGACCAGCAGAAATAAAAACATCCCTGATGTTTTTATCAGCTCTGTTTCCAGCACAAATTCAAAACCCAGCCCCAGATCAGATACTGTGAAGAAAATCAATTCCGCCCCAGCTCATACCAGCACCTGGGGATTTCTGGCTATAACCAGCACAATACTTTTTTTTTTTTTTTCCAAGAAGTTTAAAGCTTATATTCTTGAAAACTTCAGAACCAATTTAGATTAAAAAACGAGTTTATAATTCAGTAGATGTGAACTTCACCCACTGTCACTTAAGGCAGCCATTTGAAAATTATGGCTTCCATCCTGTCTCTGTTTCCACAACACTGAACAATTGATAGTATGTGTAACTTAACTAAAATGCTCTTGGCATTCTGTCACAAATGGCATCTATAATGGTCTATGTAAACCAAAATTCAGTTTGTCTCTTTTCTTCCTGAAATTCATTAAATGCTACAAAGAAAGAAAGATTGCAGCCATTAGAGAGAGCTGGCGTAGCTCAAAGTAAAATATGCAAAACACTTGGGCTTTCTGTTACATTTAGTGTGACCATAACAATTAGCTTTTCGCACCATTAGAAATGAGGACTGACTCTACGCCTCTGTGACATTTATTGGAAAGTGTTGTCTTTAAATCACAATGATAAAAAGAAATTAAAATAACTTTTTAATGACTATTTATCCTGACTCCTACAATAAGCAAGGATAAGTTGACAAGTACATTAAAGAACTTCTGCTTAAAGCGAATTAATGTGAATTTGTTGCAGAAATAGAAAATGGGGGAAAATAGAAAATATAAAGAGATTAAAAACACAAGAAAGTTTCTGATCAGCAGTAAGAAAAGCTTGTGATTAGTTGTCTAAAAGTAGGATGAGCGAATGTTTAGATAGAAAACATTTAGACAGGACAAGCACTTTCAGAGCAGCTTTTAGAAATCTGCAGCTGCACTTGTGCGTAAATCTACTGGGCACAAATGAAATGGATAAAAAACCTTTCTCAGCTTTATCTAGCTTTGAATTTTTTGGTTTGTGTTCTCTGTGAAGGACAAAATATTTACAGAAAACAAGGTGGATTAATTGTGCTTTTTTATTTGGAGTATATTTTGATGTAAATTTGTTATAAAGGACTGGACTCGCCTCAGCAACTCCAGCTTTGAGGCCGGGAAGGAACTCGGCTGTGACACACGGGCAGGATCACACCAGAAGGTTTGGAAACCATGTGGAGAGCCGGGCTGGCGCTGCCGGGAGCTCTCCCGGAGTCGGACATGGAAGGCTGTGCCTTGCACAGAGGGAGGAACCATTGCTTTAACCGCAAATGACAGCAGCAGGAGTTCCTGGGACTCCGGGCCGCGAGCCCCGTGAGGATGAGCGCGAGCACACACCACCCGCTCCCCCCGGCCGCCGCTCAGCGCTCCCGCCCCGGGCCGTGATTGGTCCCGAGCCCCCTCGCTCCTCCAATCCCAGGGGCGGATTCCGTTCCCGCCCCCGCCTGGTCCTGCCCACCGCAGCGACGGCTCGGCTCCACCTTTCCGGCCGTCTCCATGGCAGCGGGGGCGGGGGGTGTTTTAAGGCGTCCCGGAGACCATTGCGGGTGGTTGTTTTCCTTTTCGAAGCCGGCGAGGCTAAAGGTAAACTAGCTAGTGTATTTGGTATCTTATTTTTATTTCCTGACTTATTCTCCCCTAATCATACAGGATGGTACCTTTCAACGAGATCGTAAATCCATTCCCACCCCCTTTCCCAATGGTAGGGCGCAGGCGGTGCGCGGCCCCGCCGCGGCCGTGCTGCTCCCGCCCTGTTAGGGCCGCGGCCTGAGGTGGAGCGGCCGCGGGTCCTGCGGTGCAAGTGCCGTCCTCAACCCGAGGGCCTTCCCCGGGGGCTGCTGGAGATCCGGGAACTGCCCGCGGAGGTTCATCCCGGGCTGCCTCAGGCCTTGGCATCCGCCCAGGGCAGCGGTCGCCCCACGGTGCAGCGAGCGGAGGATGCTCAGGCTGGTGCTGGTTTGTCACTCACGGTGATGCTGGTTTATTGCTCCTGCTATAAGCTATAGGCGCCCTTAAAGACAGGAGGCACATGCGGCGGGATGCTCTGCCTTCTGTCGCCGGTAAAGGTGTATCGCAAAGAGCACGAAGTGCCCCGGCTGAAGGAAGGAGTGCTGAAGGGGTGTGCTCCGTGTTAAACAAGGTGAAGCATTAGCAACAGGCCAGGTGGGCAGAAGTGTTTTCAGAGTGCGGTAAAACATACAGCCCTAGAAGATGCACCCCAGCGTCAGCAGAGGCCACGTGTAAATCGCTGGTTTCAGAGTTAGGTGTGACACATGATAGTGAGGAGACCTTAGCTAACGTTATCTTGATGAGCTCTTTTAGTTCTCCCACCCTTTGACATTGTGTAATTGTGACAAGTTATTTAATTTCACTTAAGGTGATGATAACGCAGTCACCTCTGAGGTGAAAAAAAAAATAACCAAACATTTTCAGTCTTCTGAAAAGTGCTGTAGGATCTTTATTTGCATCAGTGGGCAGCTGATCTCCTTAATAGCTCAGAAAAAAAACAGTAAGTTCTAAACAATTTGAACAGTTTCCTGTGAACAGGTCCCTGTATCTGTGAGTAGTAGTTTACAAATATAACTGTGTTCAGTGTAATGTGATAAAAGCCAGAAATCAGTAATGTAAACAGTAATAGACAATTTATGTAAGCGCAGTGTGTGTGTGGTTGTAAGCATCTGAAACTCGAGAAAACTCAGTGCTGAATCTGAAACTGAAAAAAAACTGGTTTTCATAAATTATTAGAATATAGTAGCATTTTCCTAAAACATATTGTGAACATTAGTAGTGTGAATGTATTCAAAGCACATTGTAGCAATGTCTTGTGGCAGGTTTTGTGTAGATGGCTGACATATAGATATAATGTGTGCAGCTTTTTAACCAGAATTGTTTAATTCTGGAAAGTGTATGTTAATGTTCATCTTTAGAAGATTTTAATTTCACTTGGTTTTCCTTTTGTAGAGTACAAAACCAGGGCAAACAACTGAAGATGTCATCATGTTTGGCTCAGGAGGTTCAACTTGCTAAAAGACATGAGGAGATGTGAGTAGTTGTGCTCTGCCTCGCAGCAGGTTGTGTCGTGTCTTGTAATATTCTCCCTCCCTGCCCATGACCCTCGGTGCCAGTGTATCTGAGCTCTGCAGAGCGCAGTGGTGCTTCAGCAAAGGGGCTGGAGTTCCAGGAGGTGGCACTCTTCCTTCAGGAACCATGGGAATTAGCATCCTTTGCCTGCCGTTAAGGGTATTTAGGTTGATGAGGTTTTTGACTTCCAATGGTGATAACTGGTTTAAGGTCTCTATTGTTAACCTGTCACCGTTCAATTCCTATGTGGGGAAGGTAATTGGATTCTCTCACTCAATGCCTCAATTATAGACTTGCTTCTTTGTTGCCCTGTAAACTCAAATTGTGAGGCAAATACAGTAGTGATTCAGGAAAATTTGCTTTTCTTGTAACAACTAGTACCTGCCAACGAGCAAATGTAGTACTGATCAAGTCACCCCAACCCACTGTATCTTTCCTTCTTCTGGGAGATTCAGTGTTTGTAAGCACCTAGCATTTGAGGACTGCTAGTTGCAACATTATAGCTTCATACAAGCACAGCAGGTGATGCCTGCCTGTACCTTTTCTCTCCCCCAGCACACCCACCCTGCAGGCAGCTTAATTAGCCCCATAGTTTTGAGAAAACTGGGTAAGGTAAAAAGGTTATTTTCTAGCTCCTGAGCAAAATGTTCTACCCACTTAGCAAAATGTTTTCCTTTGTAGACTGTCTCAGAGATCAGAGCTGCTACAGCAGATGGAGACTTATCTAAGAGACAAAAAGACTAAAAAGACATGGCAAACTCAAGCAGCTGATGCAGCTCGTAAAAGGAATGCAGCACTTTTAAATGTAAGTTTCTGCAACTACCAGGAACCGCATCAAAATGTCACGGTTATGTAGCTTAGATAATTAAAAAAAAAAAAAAAAAAGATAAGTGTTTGCTCTATAGTTGTCATTTGAATTCTCTTCTATATGGTTCCCTCTTCTGGAACTTGACCAAAAAGTATTAAATGACAAGTCTTTATTATCCGATGGCATCACTACCTATTTCCCGTGCCCTTCTTATGAAAGCCTCGTGGTGGCAGCTGCTACTATGTATTTTTATTTTTTTTAAGCACGGTGGAGATGTAACACATGCTAGTACACGTCTGCCTGAGAGAACTTAGGGGTCTGTCAGGACTCACAGCCCCTCTACGCTTTGATTCAAGACATGGGGGTATGTTTGCAAATGGGCTGACCAGGCTGCAGTGCTTTGGGCCAAGGGTAGGAACTGTTCTTCTACTGTGGATGTGTTAAATTGTTGAAGAGGTTCTCAGTTTAATTTTTTTTCTCTAAAGAGATGTAGGGTGACTTCAAACATTTCACTTTCAAGTCTGTAAAAGCAGTGTTTGGTGCTTCTGGCTCTTCGTAGGGGTGACACCATTAATAATGTAGAACATCAGAAGTTCATAGCTGTTCTACATAACTGTTGTCATATTTAGGTAAGATTTGTTTCCTAGGCAATTAAAAAGATCTAAGTTTGATGGCAGGGACCAGAATACTGAAAGGCTCCTCTGAAACCCCTAGCTCAGGCACCTGAGTTTAAAGAGATGCACTTGACCACTGACATGATGCATGTGAAAAATGTGTCGGTTTTTCAGGAGACAGCAGAAAACTGAACATCCTGTGCCTTTTCTTTAAGCTTCTACTTACCAAGGAACCATAATACATGTATTGTATTTATTGAAAAAGTAAGTTTTACTCTTAGAAAATCACAAGATTAATTTGGGTTTTTTTCATGCAGAGCCTGGTTCAGATTTAAAACGTTCGCATTTTGGGTGGGTATAATTCTATTGCTTTAGAGCTTGCATTTAAATGGGAGGTTTATTTAGAGAGGGGCAGACAAGGAGAACAGTTAGCCAGGAATGCCTTCTTAACTATTCTGCGACAAAGAAGATATTTCAACTTGAGCTGGTGAACTGGTGCATTCTGGACAGGGGCAATCAAGCCCCTCTTTATTTGGTATAGTAAGTGTAGGTGCTTCAGTGAGTGGCTGAGGACAAATGGATGGTTTGGTTATTTTTTCAATAGCTGCTATTCTGTTGGATTATTAATTTCAGCCATTATGACTCCCATTTTCCGTGGGCATTTTAGGTTAGATTTTTACTTTGTAAATAAAGGGGTTTATAAATTATTTGTGTTTATGAATGCATTCTCAGTTTACATATGCAGGCAAACACAATAAATGCAGAATATATTTCTCCATCCTGAAAGCTTTATTGTATTGCAAATGGTAACAATAGCTCAGACATATACAGAGTGTAAATATTTCTGCAGTTAAACAGATATTTGCTATCTTCTGTCACATCCTCAAAATTGTTCCTTTCAAGTGTCAAAAATGTTGGTGTTTGTACAGAAAAAAAGCAAAAACATATGTATCAAAACAAATTCTGTTGCAGGATAAAATAGCATAAATCAATTTAAATCTATTAATTTTATCCTGGTTTTAACAAGCATGCACTCCTGCAGATGCTTTTTGATAACAGAAGAAAACAGGAAAAAAAAATCTATGCAGCATAATATATGAGAAGCTTGAAAACAAGACTGATTAATGTGCCAGCTTCAGAATATTGTTCCTGATACCAGGCACTGTACATTTCACAGTTACCATGTGGAGAGTTGTTGATTTGGCCTACTCAAAAATACATGGACATGACGAAGTGTTATTTTTTTATTTGCATTTCTGGTTTTCTGCATGTAAGCAAAAATCAGTTGTTTTCAGTAATAGATCATAGCAAAAGCCATTTTTCTTTCTCTGTGCTAGTTGGAATTTATGCACAGGAAAGATTTCAAAATTAATTTAAATTCTAATCAGTAGGAAGCAAGGAACTAACCTTTTTTTTTTTAATTGAAATTTTGACATTATAAGCATTTGTTCAGCATTTTAGCATAATTATCAGAGTATTTTCAATGTCTTTAGAGGGAGACTGCAGATTAGGGAAATCTGTATCATTTGGTGCTTATATAATGTTGTCGTAATAAAAGCAGAAATTAGACTAGTATTTGTAATCTAATTTATGACATTTGTTTCTCAGTGATATTTCTTGTGTTTAGAAATATGTATTACTGTGCAACAGCTTGTAACATGAAATAGAAAAGAAAGAGTATGCTATATAGTAATTAGTACTGGAAAGGTAATTTAGAACAAATTTGCTTTCCTTCCCGGGCATGCAATTCCAGAATTATTTAAGTGTGATTGTGCCAGACTGATATCAATATAAGTGACAGCTGAATTTGGTCCCCTAAAAGCAATGTATGTGTCATGCATTCCATTTTACCTCTGGGGAAGGGTCTTGAATTGTTTTTGTTCCAGTCCTTGTGGTTTTAGGGGAAGCACTGTAAGATGCTCTCTTTTTTTCAGTACTGTGACATATTAGATTAGCTGTTTTTTTTCCAAAGAAGTTTATACTGCTGATGTATTTATTTTTATATTGATGACAGGGATTTATTTTTCCTACAAAGCTTACCAGTTGTGTAGACACACAAGAAGTGCCATCTAATCTTTCAGTAGTTCTAGTTATTTTCTAAAGCATACTACACCTTCCAGCAAAAATTTCTTTCACTGTCTGTCATTAAATCAGTATTCTGAATGACAATAGACTGCACAACACAAACTGGAGTGAGCAATGAAAAGACACGTCCAATATCTAGGCTATGCCAAAGTGACCTTCTCTACTAAACATATATGCACAAGTGCTGTCTCCTTTCTTGCCTGAAAGACATTCATTTCCTATCACCATAAACATTCCAGTTACTTTGCTGAGTCTGTAAAGAAATAATGATTGATATTCTTCTCCTTCCTGTTAAAATTCCTACAGCAATTAGGAAGAAGGATTCAGAAAGTAGGAAAATCCAGTGGAAGAATATGAGGTGAACATTATTGAATGATCCTTTTTTCAGCATGATTTGTTATGGTGATAACTTCTCCACACTTGGCCTGAGCCATTCTGATACGAGCTTCATTTGCTGCTGTTTGTGTGTACCTGTTCTAAGGATGTGCAACAGAAAAATTCCTTGCTTAAGTCACTTAAGTCTGTGTTGGCCTCTGGCATTTTGACATCGTGATTTCAAATGGCCTATGTCCTTTTTCTTGTTCCCTCTATAGGTTTATCTCATTAGTCTTTTCTTACCTGAGAAGGGGCAGCCATTTGCTGCTTCTGAGAATTTGGATAAATCTGAGAATTAGTTTACTCTTTCTTTACTCTCTCTTATCCTTTAGCTTCCTACAGTGGTATGGATTTTGCTGTAGAAAAGGGAGAAACAATTTTGTTTGGATTAGGTTTGTAATTATGTACAAGAGAATATTGTAAAAGGAATTAATGAAATAAAATGGACACTAAACTGAACAATCTGACTGTATACATGTCACTAAGTTGAACTTCAGCAAGGCCAGTTTTTTGCTTTTATTAATTATACTCTACTGAACTAAACTTGAGATAAACACTGTTTACTTATTGATGTATTCAGACTGGCTATTATTCAATACGAGTAATCATGTTTGGTCTCTCTTGTGGATATGCTCCTCCAGAATCTCACTCTTCTTTTCAGCAGCAGTGGTGGTGAATATTTGGGAAGTCCCTTTGGGGAATTTCCTCTCTCATTTAGTTTTTCTGTTGTACTCTTCACACCCGCTCTCTGCTCCCAACTCTGCCATCTGCTATACTTTCTTTCCCCCTCCACTCTGTTCAGCTTTGGCTTCTTCACACCCCACTCCCACGTCCCTTTCTGTCTCTCTTCATCTGCCCACCACTCAATCTCTTCAATGTTTGGGTATGGAACTAAGCCCACAAGAACAGGTCAGAACTTTAAAGGGGGAGGGTGGTTAGTTTGGGGGCATGCTTTGATTTGTTTGTTGCTGTTGATTTTTTTGGTTGTTTCTTTTTTAAAAGATTTATTTGGGCCTCTGTGAATCCAGCACACATCCACTGGACAACCAGAAACCCAAATACTGATTTTTTTTTTTGTAAGAAAACTATGTGAGGTGCATTGTCATCCAAGCTTGTCTGGTGAACAGCTTGCTGCAGCTCTACATTTATGTGCACATGTTATGCATGCATATTAGCAAGTCATCTTTGTCTTGAGAAGTAAAGATCTTGCACATAATTTGCCTAGTTGCTTTACAGTTACAGTAGCTAGAATACATACTTCAGTCTTACGCAGCACAGAAAAAGATGTTCCATTCCCCTCTATTTCCTTGAGGTTTATACGACAGAATTTAACTAATTTACCCTGGTGTCCAGAGAGAATAGCAGTGTTTACAGCAGAAGTCTTACTTGGTTGTGAAGCATACTCTTGTATGAAAAAGGTGCAGAAAACGTATTTAGCAGCTGGAGGGTGTTAGTCTAAGTAGTACAAGTTGTATTTCAGAATGACTAAACAAATATTTGAACTTCAGTGTGAATTTTTGAATGCTATTTAGCTGTAATGGGTTTATTTAGTTAATTTAAATGTCTTTATATGTGTATTTTTCTTTTAAAATTCCCAGTGTTTGTTTTTAAAATGTACTTTGCTTGTGTTTTAGGATATAGAAGCAGCAGAAAAAAGGCTGCAAGAAGGAATGTATTTACTTCCACGTCCCGATACTGTTAAGTTAGAAGTAAGTCCTACAACTCCTTTTTCATTTGTTTTCATTTGCTGTTTACCAAATATTTTGCTTTTTTTTTTTTCCCTGAAGCATGTTCTTAAAGTGAAAATAATTGATTTTAAAATCCAGTGACTGGTATAGCCAAAGGCCTGTGTACTGTGTAGCAAGCTGAACCTAAATTCTGGGACAAGGTCCTTAGATTCTGGAGCATTCTGGTGGAAATGTTTAGCAGCTTTCAGATCTGTACAAACTTCTATTTAAAAATTAGGTCAAATATAAAAAATTAATATTATGAATATCAGAAGATTACTATATTTACTACGTCAGAGCTATTTAGTTTGTATTATATGGTCATCCCATCCGCAGTTTACTGCAGATTGTCATCTTTATATTTCAGGGTCAACAGTTTATCAGCATGAACAGAGAAAATTTCACATCAATTATTTTAGAGTTGTGTGGAAGCTTATGAAAAGTACCACAGCGGGAACACTCGGTTCTTTTTTTTTTCTTCTCAACCTGCACTCCCCAAAGCATTACTTGAAGATAAAAATTCTGAGCAGGTTCCCATCTGTTTCTTGCCCCAGTGGTTTGTGTGCTGTGTGCTGTGGGGTGGCTTGGTTCCCAAAGGCACAGGAGCAGAGTGTCCCATGCTGGTTTGGGTGCTGGGGCTGTGTCAGAGCAGGGCGAAGGGCCAGGTTTCAGCTCTGTCAGCTGTGAAGAGAGGTGTATTGTACCTCAGCTTCACACCTGCTGGGCAAGTGTTGGCATGCTTAGGCTATTACTTAAAGGAGAGGCATCACTTCTTGTTCTGGTTACTGTTCAAAGTTTTCATCTGTCGTTGCATTTTTGTAAATAGCCTCCTGTGACTGTGACAGGGTGCACGCCAGGTATGCCCCTTCAGTGGTGTTTTTATTATTTTTAGACATTTTTAGGCAAAAGGGTACATTTTTCCTGAATACTTGTGCATTTTGAATGGTGCTAAGGAAGATGCCAACCTACTAATATTAAACATTAAACCTATTTTGACTGTGTTCAGAAGTAGTTTTAGACTCTTCAATGACTTTGCAGACACCTCTGGAGTTGTTTGGGTCAGTTAGTCCCATGGTAGGTGTGAAACTGCTTGTCAAACAAAGTCCGCAGAAACTGGAATTGCAGAGCAATTGCTTGTGGCTGCAGAATGTCTGCACTCTGCAGCAGTGGTGAAATTTTGGAGAGAACAGAGTTACTATTTGAAGGAGAAGATCCTATTTCAGCTTTTTTTTTTTTTTTTATGCTTCTAGAGAAGAGTGCTATAAATAGTGGAAAAAGAAAACTTTCTTTCATGGTACAAAATTCTTGTGCGTGCTTTGTTCCAAAACACTTCTGAGCATATTTCACTCAGCCATATATGTGTCTGTATTAATATACTCTGAAAGTTATGGCTATAATGGATCCCCAGCTTGCTGAGTCGGAGTAGTTTTGTGTGACAGCACATATGCTTGTCAGAAAAGATTCTTTGAGTAAATCTGTTGAAGAAAATATTTTTGTAAACCTGCAAGTGCCATAGTTATATCTGAGTTACATGTAAGGATCAAAATGATTAGCCAGGAATCTAATACTTTGCAGGGAGATCTTCAGTTTTGTGCTGCACTTCTCCTTCATTGTATACTTAAGAAAAAAAGGCTCACTACATATGTATCATAACTGTTTTCTACTGCAAAATTACATTTTTCTGAATGGACATCAGTGGCAATAAATACTTACATACGTGGATGGATTAAAGTGTTATCTTAGCACGGTTCCTAGATCATGTTATTTTGTGGGGAAAAAATGGCACTTAAAATTTTCCTGCAAATCCTACAAACAAGTTATCCTTAGGATACCAACACAAAAATGATCAATTATTAATAACACGGTTAAGTAATATGTTAAATTTATTACTCTGAGGTACAGTGTGAGGAAGTGAAGAGGGTTAGATGATCCACAGTGATTCTCCTAGACCATATGCTAAATATACATCACCTTTTTTTTATTATTATTTTTATCTGTGTTCCAAATTCTTGAGATGATTACTTTATCACTGAATTATCAAGTCTAAAATTTTACTCAATTATTTTGAACTATAGTTCTGTAAAGTACTGTAAACTTTTCTAGGATAATCAATTTACATTGGTAAATGTGCAGCTTTCATTTCTGACATTTTTTTCCCCACTGCAAAATGAAATTCCAGTGACATACACACTTAAATATAAAAGCTGCTTTTGGAAAAGTATATAATTGTGGAAAATAGTTTATTAAAGGTACTGTAAGGTCTAAACTGATGTTGCTTACCACAAGAGGGCACATTCAGTCACTTCACAGTTTGTCCTGCAGAAGGAAATATTTCCAAGCTGATATTTTGTATCACACAAGAGATTAAAAATTTCATATGTTAGGTATGTTGTTCTTTTCTGAATTGCTTCACTCTTAAAGTAAGATTTAATAATGCATTGCATTTCTATATTGTTTTAAACTGGCTGACACAGATTTTGAAATTAAGTTTATTTTTTCTTATATCTTTCTCAGACTCTCTATTTGGCATCAATAAAAGAATCTCTTCCCAAGTGGGAAGACTTTCTTTTAGGAAGAGCAGAAGTTCCTATTGGCTTTAAGGAAACGAAAGCTACAAAGCAGAGCATAAGCTACCCTGAAGAAGATTCACAAAAATAAACATTTTAGTTTTGTTTTGTTTTGGAATTTATCACTTAAGCAGAGATCATCCAGGTCGGGCAACAGAATATCATGCCATTAAACTGAAATGTACATAATTTAAATGAAAATTAATTATATAGGACAATTTCATTCTATTGTTGCGTTGCGTACAATTCCTTATTTTCATTCTGTACTACAGAAGCAATCCTCAAATGAGTTTTTAGGATCAAGAATGAGAAACATTGATGTATAGATTTCCAGCAAGGCAATTGGGTTTTCAGTGTGAGAAGAGTTTTATGTTATTTTTAATCCTCTGCTTCTACATATAAGTGCGATAAGTAAAGACAGATTCTTGCATTATCTTTCTTCACTTCAGTCATCTGTGCTGCATGCCTGCTCGTGGATGAGAGAGAAAGGAAGAATTTACTGTTAGCAGAAAAGGCAGACTGTGCATCAGAGTAGCCTTGGTTTAGCACCAGGAATCTGTGCAAGAACCTTCACAAGAGCAGTTGTAGAAGGAACTTGAATTTCTGCATCTTGTTTTCTCTGATTTTTTTTTTTGTCATTGCCACTTTCATCACTCATACACCTCACTCCAGGCAGCTTTTCTCAACTTCCTTCTGCCTACATTGTATTTCTTGTCTAGGGGTGGGCAAACAAATCTCTGGGGCTTTTTGCTACTTCTAGGCTGCTCTTAATGCTATTTTCTTTCTGCTGATACAATCTACAAGTGAGAACTTTTTCTGAGGCATAAAAAGTTAGAAAGAAGCAAACTGAGAGGTAACTGGCAGTGGCTGTCCAAGAACAAAGCATGTACAAAAGTTGCGGATATATTTTCATTTTCAGCCACTGAACAGCTTCCCAGCTTCCTCCTACAGGTGCAGTTTTAATTGTACTGAGCTAACTAGGTATGAAAAATTCACTGGTACAAAACCTCTGAAAGTGTTGCTTCAGTGGAAGATCCTGCCTGGTGTGTGACATAGCCTGCAGAAAATTAATCTTTCCTAAGCAAAAGAAGCCTAGAAAATATTAATTTATTTTATTGTTAAGAACCTGGACTTGAGTCAATATACTTTTAAAATTTAATTTCCTGCAACAGCACCATTCCACCCCCAACCTGGAAGTAGTAGAGGAAAAAAAGTACCTTTGCCAATGTCTGAGGATATGAAAATGTAATGGTTGCAAATATTGCTAGTCTAGTTATGTAGGCAATGCATCTTCATACTACCTAGAGAGAGACCTCACTATTAAAAAAACATATCCCTGTGCAGCATGAAGACTCACTGGCTTAATAAAATCAAAACTTTAGGTGCAATATAAAATTGCTATATATTTTCCACAGGAATACTAAGAGTTCATTTTAAACTTTTTTCTATTGAAGTGTCCATTAAACTGATAACTTTTTACAGAAACTGCCATCTTAGAATTATCCTGTTGAGTGGGTGTTGGTGTTTGTAACAATAACGTTGTTTTCATAATATGTGATGGCAGATTAGCACGCTTCTCTGCAGTGTTGTTAACAGTTGTAATTAAGGAATAAACAGTAAAGGGTGTCAGTCCGATGACAATTTCATCTATAGTGTCACAATACAAAATGTCACAAAATATTAGAACTGTTATATAACTACAAAAATATCAAATTAGGCTTTCATCTTACAAGCTGAGAGCTTAAAAAAAACTTGGCATAGAGACCATTGCAATTTTATACCTACTCAGTGTTCTGTCACAAAGACAACTTGGTAATATTTTCTTCTGTAAAATCACAATGTGATTCTCAATGTGATTTAGTGGGAATGTGTATGGATCTTACAGTTGTAGAGCTCCTATTTAAAAAGCAAATAATTGGAACCAGTTGAGCACACAAGAAGGGAAAACCTATTATACATGATGCTCAGAATGAAGGAATGGATGAGCAGTTAGTTACTGACAAAGAATGGGATTCATCCTCTTCTTTGCATCCAAAGGGAAATCACTTCAACAAAAATCTGGGCCCCTAAGTACTTTATACATGCAAATAATCTGGGTCTTTATCTCCTCCGACTCCGCCTAAGCACTGGGACACAATGCAGATGCTCACTATCTCCTTGCCCTTGTGATTTCCCCTGGAAGGAGATGTAGGTGTGTGGACATTGAGTGCATGGCAGCTCCATGGGTGAGAATTTGGCATGAAAGGTGCCTGCAAGCAGGGTTAGAGTAGTTACCTACTGTGCTGCAGTTTGGTGCTCACATAGCGTGCCTGGGAATAAAACAAAATTATCTTCAAAGAAGGAATTTAAATTTATTTACTGGAGCATAACTTCAGAAGCAATAGGACAACTAGTTCAAGGAAAACTGTAGGGACATGTCCAGAAAAGGAAAAACCTGAATGAAGAGAAACATTTAAATCAGGAATGTGTGTAGGTGACTGTTCTCAGAGACAAGGACCTTCATGTTGTTCTGTGGTTGGAACAAATAAGTGCAATTGTCAATGACTGTGAAATAGCACAGGTACAGGAGCAAGTGACTGCTGAGCTGGGGCAGGCAGTGGCAGGGACCAGAATTATATGGTCTCTCCTGTTCTACTTAGATTTGTTGAGTTTAATGTACCGTGGCTGGGCTAGCTTGATACTTGCCTTTTTAGAGATACAGATTTGAGAAAGCAAATGCTAAATTTTAGTGTGCTTTAAAAAAATTTAGGAATCCCCCAAGGTGATTTATATTGATGTGATCTAATATTAGTCTCCTTTGAGATCTTGCTTGGGTATTCTTCACCAAGTCAAGGCTGTCACCTCAAATATATTGATTCTATGTAGTTATACCCCATCTTATCCCAAGCTTTTATATATATATATCAAAAAATATAAAATATAGAAATTACATCATATATATCTTCTGTAATTTCCTACTCATCATGAGTAAATTTTTTTCTCAAAAAAAACCTCACCAACCCCCCCCCAAAAAAAATAAAAAACACAAGCTAACAACAACAAAACAAAATCCCAAACTTGCTGCTTGCCCTTTTGTATTACAATATATGTATACATAAGGTGCAGTGGTCCTAAAAACCTGTTACTTCTTGTGTTTTTCTGATAGGTGAGGGACAGCAATTGAGTAAGGAGTAGTGAGAAAACCCTAAAGTTTTACCTGTTTGTAAGTTAACCTTGGAGTATCTTGCAAGAAGAAATAATTAATCATACTTTTCTAGGTTAATGCACAGATGAGTAACCCCAGTACTAACCCAGGAGCACAGCCTGTTCACCCATCTTGTCACCTCTACCATCACATTCCCAAGCTTTTTACTTTCTCAGTTATTCTGGCTGTGGGGGCAGGAGCAGAAGGCAAGGCATGTTACTTTTCCCTAGCATAAGAAATTTCTTACTCTGCAGAATCTTTCACAAGACTATTAATTTAATTTGTGAGTATATTTGAAATAGTAAGTTGGTTTAGATGCATATCTGACACTATGGTATCCTCTTGATTGTATTTATTCAGGATCATGTTTTCATAGAAGTTGGGAACTAATTTTTAGGCTGAGGTTATAGTACTTAATTTCTATCTTTTTCATTCACATAGAGCAGGTTGGGGATGTAGATGCTCAGTTTGAGCTTGTTGGTACTGAAAAAATAAGAAAACCAAATTTAAAATGGAATGTACTTTTAGAGGTTATATCTGAAAGAAAACATTATTTACTCCATAATGGTAATTTTCATAATATTTTAATAGTTGTGTTCAGATACAACTTGACCTTAAATATCACCCCAAATGCAAGCTGTTTTAACATATTTGTAATGCTAAGGTCTTCATTACTGTGATATTCTGTTTGCTCAAGGATTATAATCCATGGATATACTGTGTTATAGTTGAAATAAAGCTTTGATCCTGTAGTCACTGCCTCTTGGATCTCAGTGCTGCATTGCATGTATGAGTTGGATGTAAGTTGGTGCCTGCTGCAGCCAAGTGTGAACAGTGAGTAGGCCAGTGATAAACACTTTGCTTAAGTATGATGTTTATTTTCCTCTGACTCTGATATGAAATATTAATCTGCTGAGTGAAGATTAAAATCTCAGATGTTTTTGATGAAAAATCCAAATGTAACGAATCCCAAATCGATTATTTGCACTCTTCCTATTGTTTCATAATGTGTGAGCTAAATTACTTCAGATACGCGTTTACTAGGAAGATGTAGATACATCCTTAAACCCTTGCTAAGGAAACAGGTGGGGGAAAACGGTTCTTTAGTATATCCTCCTGCTGTGTGAAACTCTTTGTCTTTGCTATAAATAGGGTGATTTAATTTGGGAATTTGCTACTCCTTTTAAACACAGTTAAAACAGCTCTTGAAAATGCGCTAAGCTGTGTAAGCCTTCCAGTTGTAGCTTTTGCATTTGACTTACTTTGAATACGTCTGGTTTTAACGCATACAGATAGAAAGTATACTCACTTCTTCCCATAAGTTTTATCGCTGTGATGATGATCTTAAAAATAAATGTGTGATGTTCTTTCCCCTCACTCTCAGTCGTATCACCTACCAGAAAGCCCTAATAAGCAACAAAATAGTGTGAGACAGTATTTACATCACACTTTTGAAACAGATTCAAGCAGAGCCAGCTGCTGTAAGATTATTTTACAAATCTATTGTAAATTAATAAAAGGGAAAAATTGACTTCCTTTAGGTAAATTACAGTCTCCTTTACTAATTACCGTAGCTTGAAGCCGCAGTAAATAAGTACCTGCCTGACTGCGGTGAATGGGAAATGAGAAATGTAATTTTGGTAACCAGACTTGCCTTTCTTTACCCATTTAGTTCGTACGTGTTCCAATAGCTTCATTCACGGAGCTCTGACTGGTGCTTAATAAAAGCTTCCGGAGGATAATGTGTTCAAAGTGAAGCACATGCCGGCAGCTTTGTTCAGCGCCGGCGAACCTGCGCGCTGCGCTCCGCGGCCGCGCTCGCCCCGCGCCCCACCGCTGCGGGCTCTGCCCGAGGGGGCTGTTTCGAGCCGGGGAAACGCCGAGCCGAGTGGGAAAGGGAGAAAGGAGGGAATGAAAAACACCCAAACCAAGCAAAGCCCGTTTCTCGGCGGTTGCCCGGTGTGCAGTGAGCTCGCTGTGGAGCGGGGGAGGACAGACGGTGCCGGTCGGTCGCGCTCAGGGCGCGGGGACTGCGCGTCGCCGGGAGCGGTGCGCTGGGAGAGGGAACGGGAAGCGCATTGTGTGTGTCCTCCCTCACTCAACCGCGCCGAGATTCCCAGCAAAGCTCTGGGCAGCGGGTTTGATTCCTTGGAAACGCTCGTAATAATAATGTTAACGGTAAAAAACGTATCCGTAAATCCCTAGGAAAAAGGTTTGTCTATGTGACCCAAAGTGTAGCAGTCCCCAGG